TGGAATGAGAAATGCAAGATTCATTGTAATATACACTTTAATCTTTTCTAGATCAAAAGATGTCTCACATTGGACTGTTGTTGCTGGAGATCATGACAGAATCCTGAAGGAACCAACTGAACAGGTAAAACAAGAGAAGCTGTAAAAGAGTGCTGTCTTTCTTTCCCTTCTCTATATTTCAGCACATGTAGAAGGCTCATAGTCCAGCCCCATGCCTCTCCACTTAGGTCTGGGAGAGACTCCTGTATGAAACCCTGGCATGTTGTTGCCCCCAAGTGGGTCAGCCCAAAGCATTAGGTGCTGCATAAGGTGAAGGAGAAAATGGCATCTCATCCTTATTTCTTGTATGGAAGAAAACTAGACTGGAAGTCAACAGGATGGGACAGTGAGCCCTCCACATTCACTGGGGTGCAGGAAAACTGCAAATAAAAAAATCTATTTTTTAACGTTAGAGAACAGTTCTCTAGGAATATCTAGGTCCCCCAGTACAGGTTTATGGTCAACATCTGCCAGAAGCTGACCATAGAATCACTCTGGAGGACCTATGAAGAAGTATTTCCTCTAGGAATCTCTTGGTCCTCCAACGCAGCTGTATGGCCAACTTCCAGCAGAGTCACACTGGAGGACCTAGAGATTAGGAATCTATTAATCAAATCTATGACTAATCAGATCTGCAAATGTCAAAGCTGCAAATGTGGAGGTGTGATTGCATTTTTCACAACACCTGAAGCAGTAGGCTGGTTCAGGGGTGCAGGATGGGAATGAATTGGGTGACCTGAGAGTAACAACTGGTGGGGCTTTTCTGCAAGGAACACTTTCCTCACTCTTCCTGATGGAAGGCCTGGCCTTGGCCTTCCATATGTCTTGGGAGTACAGCCATCATGGGTTCTCTACCATGGCCAGGAGAGGGCTGACAGTAGTGAGGAAAGAGGAAATCAGCAAAAGGTGTTCCAGGGAAGGAAAAGAGTCAGAGCAGCTCAGGAGGCAGCATTTGATGGCTCCAAAATGGTGTGCTCCTGCTATAAACTGAAAACCACCAGAGGTGAACCATCTAGTTCCTTCGGCTTCTTTGCCAAGAAAATTCCATGATAGTTTTGCCTCAGAGTTCCCAAAAGTCAGAAACAACCTGAAGGCACAAAGCAGCAACAACTGCCACCTGTAGCCTGAAATAAAACAGTCTGTTCTTTGTTGTTGTCATTTCCCTTCAAATCAAGTCTGATGTACAACAACTCTTTCATTAGGGTTTTCATGGCAAGATTTATTCAGAGGAGGTTTGTGATTGACTTCCTCTGAGGTGAGAGAATGTGATTTACTGAAGTTCACCCAGTGAGTGTGCTTAGCTGAGCTGGGATTTGAACCCTGGTCTTCCAGTTTCTAGCCCAGCACTCAAGCCACTACACCATACTGCCTCTCCAGCATGATATTTTTGCTGCAAGTGTACACTAAGTAGTTCTAGTAGAGGTGAGGATCCTTCCCCCCCC